AATGGAATTCAAATAAATAAATAATCATACTTCTCTAATTGCAACATATTATAAACAAAAAAAAAATATGCTGTATTTAATATTCAGATTATGCTATATTAGAATGTACATCATTCTGAAATTTTTTGGAAATTTTTCTAAAATTTTTTGGAATTTTAAATAACTAATAAACACATATAAAATTAGAATTAAAAATTTCAGAATCTGATAAACTGAAACAATTATACCAGTAAATAATAAAATTTTTCAGTAGTCTACAATAAAAATTTCAACCCCAGAAAATTATTCATGCAACACCAGAAGCATTTTAAAGCATAAATAATGAATTATTATCACAGAAAAAATATTTTATTTTCATAAAATTTTTAAAATTTTACAGAAGATAGAAAAATTAATTCTGAGTTTAACAGTACCAACCACGCATAAAACAAATCTATAACGAATTATTTATGACCATTTAAACCAATTCTAGATTAAAAAAAAACAAACAGTGCCTTATAATCAGCAGCCAAGCCGGCGGAGGAAAAAACGGCGCAGCTCAGCACGCGGCTCAGCAAGCAGCTCAGCACGAGGCTCAATGCGCGGCTTGCGCGTGCTAGCGCTGACGGCTTGTGCGTGGACAGCGCAGCTGACACGCGTGTGATGGCGCGTGTAGGTGCGTGGGAATAGGAATGGCAACGGAGCGGGGCGGGGCCGGGATCACACTTCACGTCCCCGATCCCCGATCCCTGATGGTGGAAATTCCCCCCGTCCCCGACGGAGAACACCCCCCCCCCCCGCCCCTAACGGGGATCGAGTTTCCCCGACCCCGAAAACTCCCCGGCCAAAAAAAAAAATCAACATCAAAAAATACAAGAACATCAACTATAACATCAACATCATCAACAACAACAACAATATCATCATCTTCATCATTTAACACATTAAGCAGATCTGAGCTTCGCTGATCAAAAAAAATGCAGATCTGAGCTTCATCATCTAACACATCATCTTACATATTAGATCATCAATAACAGATCTGAGCTTATTTATCAAAAAAAAAAAAAACAGATCTGAGCTCAACATCTTCATCTTCACCTTCATTATTTTCCAGATCTGAAGAACAAAAACAAAAATCAAAGAGAGAGAGAGTAACTAATGAGAAGGAGATACCCTGAGAGAGAGGAGAGGAGATACTGTGAGAGGGAGAGGAGTTGCCGCTGCGACGCCGATGATAAAGTGAGAATGAACCGTCGCTGTCATATGTGTGAGAGAGAGTGGGACGATCAGCGGTGAGGGAGCACAGCAGTGATGAGGGAGGAGCGTCAGTGAGAGTGAGAGTTGAGAGTGAGATCGACGGTGGCTGTGAGAGAGAGTGAGAGAGTTGAGAGAGAGAGAAGAACGAGAGTTGAGAGAAAGTGAGAGAGAAGAACGCAAGTGAGACTGTGAGAGTGAGAGAATGACGCACGGGTTTAGGGTTTGGTTTATTTTATATATATATATATATATGGGGTATAAAAGTAATTTAATTTCAGGGAAATTCGGAGATGGGGTATGGGACAAGGCCGGGGCCGAGCCGAGGCTTAAACACTGATCATCGTCCCCGGCCCAAAACAGATCGGGGATTGATTTTCAAATATCGTTTTCTCCCCGTCGAGGGTATTTTTCGAGGAAAAACCGCTCAAATCGGGGTTGGGGATCCCCGTCGGGTCGGTTTCAAATTGCCATCCCTACATAGGAAGCGCGTCTGGCGCATGGAAGCCGCTGGCGACGTCAGGTGGCGTGTGCGGCCCACGCACCGCCTTCCAGGGTGTTTTCTGGTCTAATTTCGGTACTTTCAGACTTCATTTTCCAAAAAAAAAAACATTTATGGTCTTAAAAATGACATTTAATGAACATAAAAATGAGGTATTTTACGCTCTCAATCTAATGAGAATGGAAGTGCAGAAACCCTACACTTCATCTTCCTCCTACATTAATTTTCATGCATGTAATGTGTACATATTTATATAAAATTATACACATGATTTAAAATAAGCACGAAAATACCCATATACACTCTAATACCAATGTAAATTAAAGTATAACGCAACGGATGAAAATTTTCAAAATCATACCTTTTAGCAGAGCTTGAAGCGAAGAATCTCGTGGGTAAATCACGTGCTTCTAGAATGTGAACAACCAACCCAGTAGTAGAGTGATACTACAAAATGAGTATCACCCACACAAGTCACAGTGCAAAATGGCTTGATTATTGTTTAATGGGACAGAGTCAATATGGGAAAAACAAAAAACATACTTTGTTTGCTGATATCCATATCCCATATATCATATCAGATATATATGATAAATATATCATCTATCCATATCAGTTGATATGATAGATATAGATATCCTGAGTGGTTATCCAAATAAGTTTTGAATTCAAATTCAAAGTTACATGGATAAGGTCCAAAAAGTTCAAAGGGCCATGCCACATGGGCGCCCAATTTCTAACAATTACAAAAAATAAGAACCAATTTGTGGATATAATTCTGGAACATTTAAACCAAATGAATAGAAATATATTATTTTTGAAAAAGAATTACTCGCAATAAAAAGTTTTCATATTTATTTAGTCCCAGAAAATTTTATTGTACGCATTGATAATAAGGCAGTAAGAGATTTCTTGATCAATAAAAAACTTATTGAGTAAGGAAGAAGATTAGTTTGGTATAATAAAATTTTCATAAAATACTTTTGAGATAGAACATTTTAAAAGTACTAACAATTTTTTGCAGATTTTCTTAGTAGGAATTGTTTCAAAAAATTAAATTACTAAATAAGTAATTTTAATTTTTGTAGAAGACCTCTAGACCAAGAGGAAAAAATGAATAAGGGTAAACAACCCGCTCAAGGAGATTGGATAACAATTGCTAAAAAAACAATCTCCAAACAAGAAAAAGTTTATTTTTTGTTTGCAAGAAGACAACTTGGAATTTACACAGAATGGAATGATTGCAAAACGCAAATATGGGGATTTTCAGGAGCAAGCTATAAATCATATGATAGCATGACCAAAGCTAAAAAATCTTTTTACAATGCACCAGCTATGCCTGTTTATCAAAATAATTTTTGTCAAATGAGAACTAAAGCAGTTCCAACTAATATTCAGGCATCTAAACCAGATGAATCTGGAATAAAACATTTTTTCAACCCTAAAATATCCAAAGAAATTTATACAAAACTCAATGGAGTTTGAAAAACTCTCATTGTAGACAACAAAGTGAAATTTTGAAAACACGTAGGAGTTCTAGCCAACAAATTAGCTAAGCAAACAACTAGATTAAAAGATTTGCAAAATTTTTGTTTCAATATCCTTGAACAAATAAATTGGAATGAAGATTTTAATTTTGAAAAAAAACAATTTTCTTCAGCTATCAGATCTCATATCAGATGAGTTTTCTGATCCAGTTTTTGAACAAATAAAAATAATTTGTCTTTTTGAAAAAGCAAGAACTTTGCTCCAAAAAGAAATTTTTTTGTTTATCAAAAATCGAGTTAAGGATCTTCGTGACAAGATTACACAAATCTTAGAACGATCTTATGATAAATTAAATTATGGAATTTCCAAAATAACCATCATGGCAAATCATGACATATGGTATTTGGAAGAATAGATTAGGGAATAACTAATCAAGTTATTTTCTAAATTTTAAATCTAGTCCAATGGATAGAATATTCAATGATCATCGAAGCAATGCTCTCATGGGTAGTAAAAAGTTTCCGATTGAGTAAATATTTTATTTTCTAAATTTCCAGCACTGTTGGTAGGCGGGAACGAAAATATTTTTTCCAACCATACCAGATTTGGTATGAAGATGACTATTTGGATGAAGATCGCCGGAGAGAGCGATTGGAAAATATTCAAAAACTTTCTTTGACAGAATATTGGATAGACTGTCTAAGATCTGTTTCACAGGCAGTGTCCAATATCCATGGCTCAGCAAAATTGCCATTCATGGTCACAGATAATAGAATACTATTTGTAACCCATTTTTCCATAACATATCAAAAGTCTCCTACACAAATTAATGATGCTCTTGACATGTTATTAAATCTCAAAAAGATAAATAATTTGAATCTTTCGTTGGAACTAGTCATAACCGCGGATGATGTAGAACATTTTCGGAATGAGCAATACAGCAAGGATCCTAATTCCCCTCCATCAGAGATTGATGAAGAGTATCGCAATCTCATCAACAGGATCGAAGCATAGTGGACCCCACCATCACATGCAGCTGTCTGCTGATCGACTCTAACCATATCCAGGACACGTGGAGCAACCTGCATTATTAGACGGAAAGTGGTCAGACAAATCCTTTCAGCCGACCCTACGAGACAGAAAAGATTAGCCAAATCTTATCTGTTTCGGTCTATCCCTTTGAAAATCAAGAAGGGTAGACAGTGTATATAATTGTAATTTGTCAGAATATGACCAATAATGGTAAGTTTTTATTTATTGTTCTCAAGACTTTTTTGATCATGTAATTTTTTTTTTTTTGTAGAACTTTTGTTCAAGCCTATGTCTAGGGTTATAGCCTCCAGTAGAAAGGAGTAAAATTTTAACAATATTGGTGTGCTAATTATTTTATTTTTTTTGTAGAACTTTTTCCCAAACCTATGTCTAGGCTTATAGCCTTTGGTAAAAATGAGTAAAATTTTAACCGTATTAGTGTGCTAATTTTCTATAATGTAATAATGTTCGGATAAACTAAGATAATTTTATGATTTTGCTTATATATGTAAGAAATAAATTGACTTTCAAGCCAACATAATAAACAATAAAAATTCTCTCCATAAAAATTGTAAGATGTATTCTATAAATTGACTTTCAAGCCAGCATAATAAACAATGAAAATTCTCCCCATTAGAACTAATATAGAATAGAAATAATCTAAAGCTCCTTTCCAGTAGAACTAACTTTCTCAAATTCATACCCACCAAATAACTCCGCAGAAAATCTTGGACAGTAACGAACAGAGACACAACAAATAAATCATCTCTGGAAATATGGAAAATGACCAACATTCTTCAATTTCTAAATCACCCAACAAAGTCTCAACAAAATTCGCAGCAACAAAATTTAGTTCAATACTGTAACTAAGAAATAAAAAGAACAAAACATAAGTTTTCTATCACAATCCGGGCTGCAACAACTCTTGATTCATAAAATTTAAGCAGCTGCACCTGCTTGGGCAGCAAGCCTCTTTCTAGCCTCCTCAATGATAGACAATTTGATACCCTTGCCCTTGGGAAGAGAAACCCACGGCTTTGTACCTTTTCCAATGGTGAACACATTGCCCATTCGAGTAGCAAACTCATGACCAGTGGCATCCTGAACGTGAATGGTGTCAAAGTTTCCCTTATGCTTCTCCCTGTTCTTGATGACACCAACACGGCCCCTATTCCTTCCTCCAGTCACCATGACAACATTCCCAACATCAAACTTTATGAAATCAGTGATCTTGTTTGTCTCTAGGTCAAGTTTGATGGTATCATTGGCCTTGATAAGGGGGTCAGGGTAGCGAATAGTCCGCCCATCATAAGTGTTGATGTATGGGATACCTTTCTGCCCAAACTGAACAGAGCGAACTTTGCAAAGCTTGAACTGCACAAGACCAACCCCAGTGTATCAGACTAAACATTCAAAAAACAATGACAGATGGCATAAAATTATTGGTTTAATGTACAATTCATAGTAATTATTACACGGGCATATACATAAATAAGACAACCCAAAAAGCCCCAAGCTTAATAGGTCCAAAAAAGAATTTCTCCACAACGAAAAGACAAAAATCAGTGAAAGTGATTGAGAGCATTCAATTGTTCAGTTGTCAATATGAAATGATATAAGAATATGATGAGAATTTTTATTCTCATATTTGATTATCCAACGTAAAGACAGCAGTTGTTCTAGCTTACACAAGTGCCATAGATACTCCCAATCTCCCATTGACAAAAGCAACTAATCAACATGTAATGTAAACAACGCTTGCTTTAAAATTAAAGAATCAGTATGAAAATTAAGAAAATAACAAACCTTGGCCTCTTCATCTCTGATGGAATGGAGACGGAATCGACCCTTTGTATCATAAAGGAGACGGAAATTCTCGTTTGTCTTGGGAATAGATACAACATCTGATGCATACACAACATTTTTAAGAGATGAAAATCACATAACTAAACATGGTAAACAAAACTTATTATTTTCCAATTCTAAGCATATCCATGCCATTTTTTACTTATATAAGACAAGTGAATTTGGTTAGTAATATCTGCCCCATGATTCATTTTAACCATAAACAATGTAGTACTACTCTTCCATCCCCATATTGTTCATCCACTACAGTTTTGGCACGTTGAGCAAGAAAGAGCATACCAATGAAACCCATGAAACCAAAATTGATAGTAGAAGGGCATACCCATGAAACCAGAAGGGTAGGTCTTATCTGTCCTAACCTTCCCATCAACAAGAATATGACGTTGCATCAAGATTGAAATGACTTCACGGTATGTGAGAGCATATTTCAGCCTGTTACGCAGGATAAGAATCAAGGGCAGGCATTCCCTCGATTTATGAGGACCAGATGATGGCTTAGGTGCCTGCACACCAGAACATTTTGAAGTACATTAACAAAGCAAGAGAACAAACAAGAGACAGAAATTAAAAAAATGATAAGCAAAAAAGATGGGAAAACAAAAAAGCAAAACAAAATAAGTAGGTGGTTGAGATGATGTACTCACAAATGCACCACCAAGCTTGTCAAGCATCCAATGTTTTGGGGCATTGAGCCTCTTCAAATGCTTCTTCAAACCTCTTGCCTGTAATTCAAGATCAAATGAATTCCAGTAACAACAGAACATTCCAAGAAATAATTATAGGAATTTTCACCACAAGACACTATAATTTTTTTATATGTTTCCATTTTAAATCTTTTTGAAGAGGATCAGTTGATGAAGTCCAACCATTTTATCTACTCCATACTAGCAAGGCAATAGCAACTTTACTATGTGTGGTATATTTAGTTTGCATTTATTTCACTTTTTGCTACTTGGAACTCACAAAATTCTATTCAGTCGCAATAATTGACAAGAAGTATAAAAAGGAGTTAAGCATCAAGTGCATAGTGAATCTATTCGTTCTGTCTATTTGAGCTCTATGTTCTAATATCTATTGAAGCTTTAAGTGGCACGAGATCAAGGCTTTTGATAATGAAAGCAAATAACCAAAGAATTCATTACAAGTTACAAAACACATTGTTAGAGACAAAAAAAATAATCGGAGGTAAAGGCCAATGCCAGTGCAACACTCACAGGGTGTATGCTGTTAGGGTAACTTTACAAGTTTAATACAGGAGAACAAAAAACCAAAAAGCCTTTTTTTTTGTTTAGATTACTTACTAGAAAAATAAACCTTCTTTCATTTAAAAATACAAAAGCAACCTAAATACAATGTTAACTTAAAGATCCTCACCATTATGCTTTAAAATGCTTACATTCACTATTTCTTCATAACAACTGCCACTTCATGTTTGAAGCAACTCACGACAACAAGGCCTTGTCCCAATTGCTTGGCCTTGGCCAAATGAATCCTAATACCAAGAAGAATTGTTCCATGCAAACCTCAAACTGAGTCAACACCCCTTAACCCAATTGCAGAAACAATTTACTTACACCACATGCTTAAAGATATTAGGTCATATCCACCAAATGAAGAAGCTTAACACTATCTTCCTTAAGACTTCCGAGTTTTGTTATTAATACCAATTCTAGAGAGCTGAGACGTGAAATTGTGCAAAGCCTAAATACTCTACCACCATCTCCAACAGAATGTGCAGAAACCATCAAAAGAATGTAGTACAATAGCAATTAGAAAGGATTCTGTTCTTTTTCTTGTTATTGTGAGAATGTAAAAAATATAAAGTCCAATAGCCTATCTGTAATCTTTCCCAGATCTATACATGGTACCCAACCCAAACAAAAATCATATATTTATCACTTCAGTCTAAAAACTTAGAACACCCAATATGTAAAAAGTCTGCATTATTCAAAATAATATTTTCTCCTTCATTGATTATAAATCTATGTAACATTCTTCATTTCCTATTTTTCTTCGTTAGAAGAGTAAGTAGTACAGCTGAATTAGTAGTTTGCATCTGCAAAACACTTTAATCCATCCGATTATCAAACAACAGATCGTGATCAAGTGTACAAAACATACGTTGGGTTTTGTGAGTGTGATATAGAGACCGTGAGAGAGATGGAATTTAAGAAAGCTAAAGCTAAAACAATCAGAGCCCTCAATCACATGTATCTGTATAAGCAAAATGGCATCAAAACGAAGCTTATAAAACCACAAAAATCAAATCTTTTCATTAACAAACAGAGTTAAATCAAGTAGACAAGATCACAGAAGAGAAAATTTAGAGAGAGAGAACGAGAGAGAGAGAGAGAGATGTGCAGACCATGGTTGTTCCGGAAGCTCAGAGAACAGTACCCTCGAGACTTGACGACTCCTATGTGCCTCTCGTATCGGCCGCGTTCTTCGAGCTTTGGGAAGAATGGAGGGTTGCTAAACCCTAGCCAAGTGATTATATATCACAGACCTAAGGGCATTTTGGGCCATTTCTAACTATGGATTGGGCCTTGTAGGGGTAGGGCTTTGTTACCTTACAGAATGGGCCGGGTTCGAATTGAACCCGGGTAGGGCATGACCTGGTTTTTACCCCCCCCCCCCCCGCCAAAAAAAAAAAATTGGCCTCCTCAGGGATCTAAATTAAAATAGGGGGTGTTTGGGAACCCACTTTTGAGATTAAAACAGCTTCAAATACTTAGAAAAGTCAAAGAGTCTCAAATACCTTAAACTAATGATTTATATTAAAAAAAAAATACAAATGGGCATGGGGCAACCTACACTGTCACGTTGATAGTGTAGGCACAATGTATGTTCAGCATAGGCCCACAGTGTAGGTACATTTTAGTAAATGACAATTTGCCCTTAAGATAAATTTTGAAAAAAATAAGGTTAGGGGCAAATTTGTAATTTCAGCCTTAAACATCATTTCAAACACATTTTTCAATACAAAAACTCAAAAATCTATCCTAACTTTCCAAACATAAAAACTAAAATAATCTATTAAAATAGCCAAAAAGTCTCTAAAATAATCACTTCCCAAACACCCACATAATTTGTTATATGAATCTAAATGGGTTTAATAAATTTTATGAAAATTTAAGTAATGAACTTTTGGAGATAAATTATGAGTTATTTAGGCCTCGTTTGGGAACCCTCGCTTTTAGTTAAAAAGTCAAAAAATTACTAAATTAGTCAAAAAGTCAACAACTCATACCAAAAAATCAAATTTTCTCTTTTCTCTTTACTTTTTGCACATCTTTTCGTAAAAAGCCAAAAAGTCATCTCAAACATACTAATTTTTTTTAACTCATATTTTAGCCAAATAACCAAAAAATTACTAAATTAGCCTATTTCCAAACGAGACCTTAGTATTTATAAAATTAGTGTTAGAACATGTGACTTTGATCTTAAATAGAGTTGATAAATCAACTGAATAAACTTTCGTGAGATCCTCAATTTTGAGTGTTAGGAATTTATGAACCATTTAAGATTAAAATATATATACATATACAAGTTCATAATATATAATTTTTTACTCATTTCATCTTTTAAATCTTACCATTTACGCATAACTACTTAGGCCTAAAAGTCACAAAATTATTTAAAAAATCAAAAAACTATAACCTATACTAAAAAGTTAGAGATTTCATTTTCTTTTTACTTTTTACACATCTTTTCATAAAAAATTAAAAAATTAAAAAATTATTTCAAACATACTAATTTTTTTACCTCATATTTTAATTAAAAAGTCTAAAAATTATTAAAATAACATATTCCCAAACGAGAGTTTAATACCATATCAGAACCATCACAAACAAATTAACTTATATTTGTTTTAGAAACAAATATTTTTCAAATATCTTGATGTTTGAAATTATAAAAAAACAAAAATCAACCAAAAATGTATTTTCGTAATCAACATACACAAACTTATTAGCCTGATACATATCACGCATTCATTTCCACTAGTCTGCATATATCGGTATCACGAGACTAAAAACCCAATACAATGTGCATCAAACGATAATTAAAACCTTGGATATATAAAGCAAACACATGTATGTACTATGCCCAATTGGTTTCCAAAATTCAGAGTGTTGCCATTTGAAAAGAAAGTAAACATCCCTTGCTCAATAACTGAATAAAAGGTTGTGGTACAGGCAGAAGACGAACTTAGGAGAAGACAATATGAACTTGAAGTGTAGGAATTTAATATACAAAAATTAGGGCTTCCTATTTTGAACTCGACCGAATGCAATATCCTCCTGCGCTCTCTTCTGTGCCTCCCTCCTCGCCTTGCGCCTGGCATCCCTTGCATCAGCGTCTATGTGGACCTTCTCCATTACTTTACTAAAACCTGGAATTGTCTGCTCCAGTTGGCTGTACACTTGCAAGCTCAGGTCATAGAAAATCCTAAACATTCTCTGCAACACCACAAAAGCAAAGAAGGGAATGTTCAAGTTGGCCCACAATCACGTAAGCAAGACAGCCCAGAATAGAATCTACCCGAGTCTGAACAAGTTTATGAACCCAGATTAGTGTGGTTGGCAACAAACAAACTATGGAGTAAATGATTTGATCAATGAATATTCAATTCTTTATTCAACATGGAATCGCTCCACAACATGGATACAGATTTGGGTCATCATAAATCATCTGATATAGTGTTTCAGTATGTATGCACATGTATAATATATTCTGAAGTTTCAGTGGAAGGATTCCTCTATCAACGCAGTCAACCTATCCCTTTTTTATTTTCACTTTCTGAATCTTTGTTTGTTTTCAAAAATACAGATTTGGCTCAGGATTGCCCATTTTTATTAATTCCAAGGCTTTTCTGAATTTGATGGCTACTAGTCATTATGACATATAGCAGCAAGTAAAACTGTTTTGTTTGCATTGTTCACTTGGGAAAAAAAAAACACAAACAAATAGAAAGCTAAATGCAAGAGAGCGGTGATGAGAATGTACCAAAACATCCTTATTCCAATGCCTGATGTATGGAGGACCTGTTGTGAATGTACCAAGAGGTTCCCGGTACCACTCACCACCATATGTTATCTGATCCATAGCTTGTTCAACACTTAAAACCTCCCATGGCCTCAGCCCAGGAATAGCTTTAGCCAGTTCAACCCTGCCTCATCATAGAAGCAACCAGAAATTTGAATGATTACTTTGGAACACAAACAATATTTGTTCAAAGAAAAATTGTATAATTCAAAGACTCAGATAAATTCAAACATAATCAACCAACAATTTTATTGCAGAAGTGTGACTGGTCCTGTGACACTAGAAGGCATTGAAAACACAAAAGTATATTTCCTTCTTTTTTCCCTTCTCTATTTCAACCAGAACTATGCATCATTTAATTGCATCCTCAACCATACTTCTACCACTGATTCTTCAGGGTACAAGGAGGAAGGAAATAGAACTGCAATACACAACGTCGACATCAAAATTCTATGTCCCTCCTATTTCTGCAAAAAGAGCTGGGAAAAAGTAAAATAAATCTATATTGGTGGTACCGATTGCTTCTGCTGGACCAACTCAAAAGTGTTTGCAGCTTTCAACCTATAGTAAATTACAGTCCAATGAATACTGGGTTCAAAATTAATTCACTATGCTTGGTTGTGTTTTTCTAAAAACACTTTTCAGAAAATTCTACTTTCTTGTTTTCCGTATTTTTTTGTTTTTATTGAATTTTTTTAATATTTTAAGCAATTTTTTTTTTTACTTTTTAAACATACCTAACATAAATATACCTAAAAAGTAAAAAATTTGTGAAAAAAACTTTTTAAAAATTCACTAAATACCAAAAATACAAAAAAAAATACGAGAATTCAGTACATTTTTTATATTTTTATGTATTTATTAAATTTTTAAAATATTTTTTTACAAATTTTTTACTTTTTAGATACATCTAAGTAAAGTGCATATAAAAAAGTAAAAAAAAATGTTTAAAATTTTAAAAATATTCACTAAAAACAAAAAAAACACGAAAATCAAAAAACTGAATTTTCAAAAAATTTAATCCAAAAAACTCAAACCAAACACGCTGATTAGTGTTGCCGTGAAAAGTTGTGAGGTGAACTCAATGAGCAAATGTAGCTCATAAAGTTGATTGACCACCATATGAAATGGCACAAAAAAACACAAGTTATAACAAACATTCAGACAGACTATAAAACGATTTCATACCACAGGCCCTACTGATCACAGTGCTTAGATTTGATTCCATGTGGTTAGAAGCTGTAAATTGTAATATGTCTTATAGCGACGGCAAAAATAAATTATATGGCCGATAGTGAATCTGCATTTTGCGATATGAGCAATAACAATAGATAAACACAGATATCAAAATAACTTTTGCACAGCTGTTCCACAGCAAACAGATATAGTAAGGACATCTAAAGGATTGTAGTGATACCTAAGCTCTTTTGGGATGTATTTGTTTGGCATGTGATCAGCTTCCAAAACTGATGATAGCTCAGAGCCACTAGCCCAAAGAAACAAGGCATGACTAGGGGTTCTTACACCCGGCCACATACCATCATTAGCTTCCAGCACAGCTAAATCACGTCTCTTGCTTTCAATAGCTTCTTCCTGGAGCTGCTTATAGGTTTTGTTCTCGTGACCCTTGAGAGGCACCCATGGAGGTATACCCTTCTGTAGTTTGTGAATGAAAGCTGTTGCGGCAGCACCTAACCTAACTGGAGATCAACCAAGCATAAGCTAAGATTCAGTTGAGATTTCACTTTCTAGGTCAGAACTGTTAGATAACTTGATTTACATTGATAGGCCTTTTTCCTAACAGGCTAAGCTTTTGGGATACTTGGTGAATTAACATTGTATTAGGTTGGAGGAGGTTTTAGGTTCAAGACTCTCCTTTTGCATTCTTTCTCTTTCGTTTTTGCATTCTCTCTTCTATCTATGTATTGATAATAGATGTTTGTATCTCTACATGCAAGATGAGGTTGATATGCATTGTTGGGCCCGTTTCCTAATAGCTCAAGCTTTTGGGATACTTGGTGAGTTAGCAAGAATAACCCCTCACACATGGATGCCAGATGTTTCTGATATGCTGTTGAAGACAATTCCTATGAGCTATGGCTATAATCCAACTAGGTCATTCCACGTTAACAAGGGAAGTTAGAAGAGTAAATCTGACAAAACTTAAACAGATAGAACATATGTCAAAACAAAATGGGGAAGGGTATACAAACCTTCCCAAGTGGCAATTGCACGTTCCAAGCCATAAACCATGCCAATTGGTGCCCATTCATCCATGTCCTCACCCCAAATGAAAGTGTGTTTATCAATTATCCCACCACCCCAAGCAGTCTTAAGCTGTATTAGCTCCATTGGTCCCCTTGAATGACCCAGTCGATCCTTGTAATACCAACCGCTACTCCTCATAATAACTAGGACAAAGGCATTATAACAACATTACTAGATTACAAGATTGTGAAAGTATAACTGAAAAACAAGGATGACAAAAATGAAATATTACATTTCAAATGTTCATAGGTCAATCTTGCCTAAAAGCAAGTTGAAAGATGGATGTGATTAACAACATAGTAAAGTGCACACTGGATTGGAATCATTTGGATGTTAAAAACAAAAATACATACAATTCTGAAACAGCAAAAACCACACTACCCAGGATTCAAATTGGAACACTTACGTATACAAATTTGAGAATTATTATGAGAAATGTGCAAACAATGACATGCATAAACCGATTCCCACATACATAAGCATGTTTGGACCTAAAATCAACGCACTAAGAGAATCTCCAATCCATCACCAATTCTTTCATCAAATTCAAATTTGATGAATGAAGAGCTAAAAATGAACTCCAATCATTTCATCAAACTTGTATCAAACTAAGGGAGACTTCAATTTTCACAAAATCAAGGATGAACCAAATTTCCAACAGTCATATTTTTACTCAAGTTTGATGAAATTTTAAAAAGAGTAAGGATTTGAGATGGTTTCTTTTCATTGAAAAATGGTTAAAACAGGTTTAACAAAAAAAGGAAATGCCCAAATTTTCACTTAAATGTGTGTGTGTGTGCGCGTGTGTGTGTGTCAGAGAGAGAGAGAGAGAGAGGATTGGAGATGCTCAATCAACAGTGAAAAAACACATCACCACACAACAAACCAGTGTTATCAGAGGCGTGAGTAAGCGCTTGCCTAAGCGCTAAGCGAGGCGAGGCGACGATGTAGCGCTTCAGACTCATTGAGGCGAGGCGAGGCGAAATGGTGAGGCGAAGTCAAAGCGCATGAGGCGAGGCTTAGGCGACGAAGCGAGAGGCGATTCGAAGCGACGCTTCATTAATTTCGGTCTGATTTCAGTTCTACAGATCTGGGCCCTTCATTTGAATGACTTTTGGGCTAATTGTGAACATGCGATGCACTTTATAATTGCTTTCTACTAAATATGTCGACTTCCTCTCAGTAGAAACCCTAAGTTGACTTCCTCTCAGTCGACATTTGCTTCGAACGACTGACTGACTACCTGCGGCTGCTTCTTCGTTCTCCGGACAAAGGTGAGTACCTTCCTTTCTTCTTCCTTTCTTCTTCTTCTTCCTTTCTTCTCCTCCTACTGCTGCGTCTTCATCTTCATCTTCTTTGCTTCTTTTCTTCTTCTTCCTTTCGTCTCTTCTTCCTTTCTTCATCTTTTTTTTTTTCGACTCTGATCTAAAAAATTATACTCTATAGGCATACCCTTTTTTTTTTCTTTTTTTTTAAATTTATTTTTTTTATTTTTTATTTTTTTATTTTTTTTACTCTGTTGCTTTGAAAAATTATACTCTGTATACTCTCTTCTTCCTTGCTCTCTCTCTCTCTCTCTCTCTACTGGTTCTGTTATGAAAAAATTTCAATTAATTTTGCTGAAAAATTTCAATTATTTACTGAAAAATTTTCAATTATTTTGTTGAAGAATTTCAATTATTTAATGAAAAAATTTCAATTAATTTTGCTGAAAAATTTCAATTATTTACTGAAAAATTTTCAATTATTTTGTTGAAGAATTTCAATTATTTAATGAAAAAATTTCAATTAATTTTGCTGAAAAATTTCAATTATTTACTGAAAAATTTTCAATTATTTTGTTGAAGAATTTCAATTATTTAATGAAAAAATTTCAATTAATTTTGCTGAAATTTTTTAATTATTTTGCTAAAAAATTTCAATTATTTAATGAAAAATTTTCAATTGCTTGGTTGGTTAGAATTAGATGTTCTTTAATTTCTTTATGCCGAAACTGTTTATTTGTTTGCTTTTAAATTGTTTCTTCATTTCGTAACATTGAATATTTAGTGTTTGGAATGATAAATGAAGAAGAAGTTCACTTGCTTGATGTTGAAGATGATTTTTAGAACCTTTGGAGTGTTGGATTGTCTTTGTCTTGGTTGGATATTTAGTATTTGGAATGATAAATGCATGATGGTTTTTGAAAATATTTATATTTTTGTCTATACTATTTATTTTAACAAAATATCGTTTGTGGTCGCCTCGATTCGATGAAACCCTCGTCTCGCCTCGTCGCCTCGCGCTTAGGCGTTAGGAGACCTTGTCGCCTCGGTTCGTTTTTCGCCTTAAAAAACACTGCAACAGACCCATGATTCAACTTAGTCATTACTAGAGTTGTGCAAAATACAACACAATCTGTTAAAACCGCACCGATCCGCATCAATCCGCACCGCTCTAACCGCTAACCGCGGTTTAAACTTTAAAATTTATAATCCACTAACCGAACCGAACCAAACTGCTCCGCTCCGCTATAGTTAATACATATATATTTTTTAACTTCCAATGAAATATCAATGTAAAAATGAGTGTGAGAGAGATTTAAGACATGAAATTTATTACAAATTAGTGATTATATAAATGAAACATATATGTAAAATTACTTTGTGTTATATATCTAAAAAATATTATACAAATTAGTATTATATATTATGTAAATGTATGATAATTAGTTAGAATATTCGTCAATCCGCCAAAAACCGTCCAAACCGCAATTTGCCGCCTGAACCGCACCGCGCACACCCCTAGTCATTACCATTTAAAAAAGATAGAAAATCCAATATAAAAACAGACTTGCAATCATACAACACCCAGAAACAATCAACAGTGAAACAACACAATCCAACAAAACCCAGAATTCAAACTAGCCACTAACTTGGAAAAGCTAGAGAATTTGATATAAAAACAGATTACAATCATAAAAACATCCACAAACAGTCAATCCAACAAAATCCAGAATTCAAATTAGCCACTAACTTCAAAAAACTAGAGAATTTTATATAAAAACAGACTTATACAATCATAAAACACCCACAAACAATCAACACAGAAACAACACAATGCGAAAAACCCAGAATCCAAATAAGCCACTAACTTCAAAAAACTAGAGAATTTGATATAAAAACATACTTACAATCATAAAACACCCACAAACAATTAACACTGAAACAACACAATGCAAAGAACCCAGAATTCAAATAAGCCACTAACTTCAAAAACCTAGAGAATTTGATATAAAAAAAACAGACTTACAATCATAATATCGGTTCTCGAGCTTCTTATAGCCAATTGCCTGAGCAACATCAATCGGTCTTCCCGGCGGGTATGGCCGTTGCCGAAACCCCCATAATCCAAAAAAGAACTGCCTAGCAAAATCCCAGAACTTGTCATCCGATTGCCTCTTCGTCTGAATCGCCTTCCTCGGCATCGGCCTCCCATCCAACCCAATCACAGGCGGCACCGCTTTCCACAGCTTAGCGTCCTCACTCCTATACGGACTCTCATTCTCTTTCAGCTCCAATTCATTGATCTTATCAGCAATCTCTTCAGACCTTCTGACAAACTGAATCACCGGACTGCTCTCAAACTCTTCCCACCATTTCTTGTTCTCTTCAACCTCTTCTGGAGTTGGGTTTTCCTTCTTTTCAAGAAGTGGGTCTTCATTGAGGATTTTTTCGACTTCTGGGGTGTGTCTGTGATCGGGTAGGGTTTCGCATTCCCAGTAGAACTGGTCGAGCATTTGCTTGTAATCAGGACGATTTGGGGGTTTTTTGGAGGAGGTTGAGCTGGTGATTGATGCGAAGAAATTTGAGGTTTTGGAAGGTGGGTTTTTGAAGGGGTTTAGGGACTCGGTGAGTGAGAGGAGGTTTATGGGTTGGAAAGGGTTTGGGGGTTTCTTGAACCAGTTTTCGCCGAAAGGACCGAAATGGATTGACGCCATTGATGGAAAATGAAGAAGATTGGAGCTTGGTGGTTTTACTCACAGAGTGGTGAGAGAGAGAGAGAGTTGTTTATGGCTAACAGTGAGAATGGGAGATTGGGGTGTCCAGCCCAAAATTATTGAAACAGATCAGGCCTGCCCCAATGTAATAAATTTTTAAGTTTTTAATTCTTAATTTTTAAATTTTTTTTTTGATTTTTTTAATTAAATTTCTCTTATTACTTTTTAGATTTACTTAATGTTAATATATTTAAAAAATATAAAGTTTGTGCAAAAATTTTATCCAAATTTTTACAGGGACAATTTGTACTGAAAATAAATCTTAAGAAATGTATTTGTAATTTATCCAAATTTTTTAAAAATTTATTGACTATAACAAAATATGAAAGTGTAATGAATTTTCGTAATTTTTTTTTATATTTGGTGATTTTTTTAAAAAAAATCAAAACTATTATACTATTTAAGTGTATGTACATTAGGTGTATAGAAAAAAAAAATTAAAAAAATTGTGTAAAATATTAAAAAAATTTACTAAAAACAAAAAAAAAATACGAGAAATAAAAAAATCAAATTTTAGAAAATCAGTGTAAACCAAACAATGTGAATCTTCATATTTTTATAAAAATTTCTCTATTACAAATAAAATAAAAATAAAAAGTATAAAATAAGTAGATTATAAATTTGTGGATTAGGATTATCTACAATAACCTATTATTGCATAATGGTGGGTTAGGAGCCCAGAATACAATTTTCCAGCCATCCAAAAATGGTGGATTATTGCAAAACGATCCTACTCTTAATTTTGTGTCTCAAGTAATGTGTATTAAAGCCTCGTTGGAGAACAAGTTTTTTAATAATTTTTTAGTTTTTTAATTAAAATATGATGTAAAAAAATTAGTATATTTGAGATGATTTTTTTTTATGAAAAAATGTATAAAAAGTGAAGAGAAAATAAATCTTTTAATTTTTTTGTATAAATTATTAATTTTTTAATTTTTTTAATAATATTTAATTTTTTAATTAAAAAAATCACTTGCCAAACGAGATTTTAGAGTGAGGGTCGTTTAAATTCGTATAATTACACATGCAGAGAATAAAATGATATAATATAAAAGTATAATAGATTCTACCAACACTCATCTCCTTCCCCGCACTCCTCCTACTCCTACCTAGTAAAACACTAACAATTAATGGGCATATGTGTGTTTGACGTCAAATTTGTTCCAACTAAGAGCATTCCAGTAATTTACTTAAATTTTATTTTAAATTATTATTAAAAAAATTATTCTTTATTTTAAAAAAATTATTCTTTATTTTAAAAATTACTTTTTTATTTATTTTCCTCATTAAATTCTCTATTTTTTCTTTATTTTATTAAAATAATCTTTTTAATTACTTTTAAATTTAAATATTTTATTAATAATAAAATAATAGAAACACATGCCAACCAACTCTGTAATTTCAGGCAGTGGGTCCCTGCTCAAATTGTGGAATTTTTCAAACAACAACGTTATTTATTTCAGTTGAAGCAATCAGGCAGCTACTCAAATGGTAGAATTTTTCAAACAACAACAGTCATTTTTTCAATAACCTAACCGTCATTTTGTGAAACCATTTGGTATATGAGCAACAATTCAATGGGAATATAAGATAAGTGAGTGTCACAGTGATTATATCAGATAGCATAAGATAGCAATTATTGTGCAGATAGTGATTATATCAGATAAAGGGCATGAAGTTCAAACAAATTCAATGAGAACATGAGTATATTTATCCTCATAAAATATTGTAAGCTAACCATGTTCCCTTTTTGAATTTTTACCTCTGTTATTGGCATTACCAAATGAAGCAATTGGGATGTAACTATCAACACAAACACTATTTGCAAACAGTTAACAAAGTAGTAACTACAACTTTTATCTTTCAAAAAATAGATTTATTTGTGCCAAGATGATTAGCAATTTTGTATAAACCGAACCATATAAACAGAGTAATTTCTTTTTCTTTCTTTCTTTTTTCTTTGCTTAGTCTTTTACATCTAGCAGTACAAGTGTGTATATAGACCATGCAAACTTGAAGCTTAGCTAAGATGAAAAACCATTAGCATTGACGATCATGTAGAGCAGCACTACATGCTCTTGTCACTACCATAGGCATTCAATTAAACAAAAATGAGGTCATCCGCCTGGACGTCCGGCCGGTCGTCCACTCGGATGTCCGACCGGTCAACCCCCTGGACGTCTGGCCCCTTGTCTAGGCTGTTGTGTTCCGCTGCTCTGTTGCTGTTGTTTTGTTTGTTGTTATTTCCTTTTTGCTCCTTCTGTTGAAATAAAATAATAATTTATCAGATATGAGAGAACTACAATGACTCCCTACAAATGGGAAGTCACTGTAGCAATCCTAAATTGTTTGGATCATATAAGGGATCTGATGGAGTTGGATTTTTGAAGAATCTACCCCTTATAATAGCTATCACGACCTAAGCTCGCCCCTCCAGGTTTAGTGACGTAACTGGCCAGTAATCTTGGGATTACCAAAGGCCTCTTAACAGAATAACAAAATATAAGGGCCTGTGGAAACAATTATACAAAATACAAGGTCCATAGAACTATGTAGACAGAAAATAAATTTTAAGCTTATATAATGTCAAACTTCTATAAGACTTGTATCACCATACATTTAATGTCATGAGAGATTTAGCCTAGCGTACAGATAAGCAAAACATACAACAAAACATCTTCAACGGTTCTTAAAACTTAACTTCTCAAAAAGAAACCTCCTCGAGAGGCACACTGGTTAATTGACCCAAAGACACTCCATGCAGCAACTTAGGCCTGGTCACGCATCTGCTCATCTACATACATAATATAAATAGTGAGCGGAAACCCATTGAATAATAACAGAGTAAAGGGTTTAAATAAATGATGTCCATAACAGATTCAGAAATCATAGTTCATATCAGAAACAGATATATGTTCATATTCTTGTTCAAACTACATACAGAAATCAGAGTTTATGCTTCATCATACATGGTACATCCATTAGCGTTATCATGCTTGTCAGTTCCATAAGGAACCTCCGATATCGGGAACTTGTAATATATTTGAACCATGGTATTATTATCCCTAGGAAAGGGCTATGAAACCACGGTATTGTTACCCCCAGGCAAGGGCTTTGTGCTTATAGACCACGATATTATTACCCCCGGACATGGACCTTGTGCTAAAGATACCACAAATACTTGTCAAAAAATAGGACAGTCTTTCATTGTATAGAACATACCATTTCATAGACATATCTTATTTCTTCATATAGAAAATAATTAAAGTTAAACATAGCTTTACTAAGTTATTACTCACTGATGACTCCAGATGCGAACAGACAAAGCAGACAAAATCAAATAGCTTATGGTGTGTGACCTATACAAACATAGCAGATACACATCTTGAAACACATACCGGAATATCATATAACTTCTTTCATTTCGTTCTTAGTGTGTTTCTAAGTCTCATCCTCATTATTAGGTCTTAATTATGGCCTAAGAATGTCTAGGATGCAATGAGGATGCCAAAGTGCACTTTGGAACTCTTAACATATCTTGTTGAAAGCAGGGGCCCCGCTCGAGCGCAACTTTTCTCGCTCGAGCGGACATGCAAACATATAAGGGGCCGCTCAAGCACAACTTCCTTCACTTGAGCGGTCTGTAAACTCTGAAAAGTACTGATTGTGTGAATTCTCCGCTCGATGGTCGCTTGACTTTCGAGCATGAGACTGGGGTCCTCGCTTGAGCGTAACTCTTGTCGCTTAAGCGGTCTGCAAAATGTGTAAACTTCTAGGAGCTTGCATTTCACGCTCGAGCCAGCTTTTGGTCGCTCGAGCGGAAGAACAGAATTTGGTATTCCCAGATTGCACTTCCAAGCTCAAAACTCAAATCAAACACTTTAAAACTCATCATTTTGGGCCAAAAACTTGAGGAAACTTGTATAAACTTGGAAAATATCTTGAATTCAAAATCATTTCGTAAAATCAAGGCCAAATAGCATGCCCACTATTCAAAAGTCAACTTGAAACTTATGAATATGCCATGAACACAACTTGCATGAATTACTATGAACTTAAACTTTTCAAAACATGATCAATTAAGGTCAAATGATAAGAAATGTGATAAATTCTCAAAACCAAGTCAAAATAGACACATGCATGTGGAGATTCTTTAGAAACAAATTCAAAATGCTATGATATATGCGTGCATGCATGAATGGTTCAATTTTCTTCATTTCTAGCTTAGTTCTTCCATTATTTAACTTAATTTTCTTGAATTCAAGGTCTAGATATAATATTTGAACAATCCAAGGGTTGAATTCTTACCTAGGCTTGCCAATGAAAGGGCTAGAGGCTTACTTCTTATATCTTTAAGTTCAATTCTTTCAATTCCTAGCAAATCCTTTAATTTGAGTCCACGATTTTTTCTTTCTCTCCTCTCTCACGTTTTGCTAGTATAGGCTCAAAGATGTGTTGAAGGAAAGAAATGAAGCACATATGGGAACCTTATATAGGCTTGGTTAATGGTTTAATTAAATTGTTAATCAACTAATCAATTGGTCATTAAATTATTCTAATTTAATCGTTCTGAATCGAATTTTAATTAAACCTACCATAATGTTTTAAAAATCCTAAATAGCACATAAATCAAGCCAATTTCATGATTGGATGCCGATAAGGCCTTCAATTCACAGAACAAAACAAAACTCAAACAAATATTCTTACATTAGACAGATATAAGCACAAATAATGCGACGCACATGCAAATAATTTAGAATTTCACCTTAATTACTGATTAGGCTTATTTAATCATGAATTAACATAAATCAGATGTCAAAGTTGTTACAATAGCAAAAAGCTATTTTAAGGCATCTGTTGGGGGATGCTCTAAGGGCATCCCAATTAAGATGCTAAATGGGCTTATTAGAATGCAAGAGTGATAGAGGCTCTATTTAATTTAGTTTTAGAATGGGCAAATTACAGCAATGGTCCTTATAGTTTACCCGTAGTTTCATTTTGGTCCATCTACTTCTAATTGCATCAATTTTGTCCCTACAGTTTGGTTTTT